TCTTTACATTTCACCTTTGACTCTATATCCCATCCATATCCTAACACATCCAACTCTATGATTCTATGAATCTATGATTCTATGAGAAGGGGGTTGCCATTGGTTTGGGGTGGTAAACTTTCTTCCTCATACCAAGATGACTATAGAAGCCAGTACCAGGTACATTAAAAAGGATTAAGTCAACAAGAACAGCTCACCTATTTGGTTACATGCATCTTGTGATCCAGTGCTTCTGTTGTAGACAGGGTAGACAGTGTGTGTACATGTGTGCATGCACATGCATGCATAACTGCAAGGAGTCCATAGTTGGTGGGGAATATGTGGCCCTCCAGATGTGGTGGGGCTACAGCTCCTATGAGCCTTAGCCAATATGGTCAATCATGAAGGAGTTTGTGGGTTGCAGATCAACTATACCTGGAATGTTGATGCTCCTCAACCCAAGGACAAGGAGGTGCTCCATATGTATGGTGTTGTCTAATCTGAAATAGCAAACATATGGCATCCAGTTCTGTATTAGGACCATGGTCTCGATGAAAATTGCCCTTCCACAGCTGCTATTAGCTCTTGGAAGGCAACTTCCAGGATAGTGGTGTGACTTTTAATGGGAGTCAGTGGCAGCTGGTGGTTTCCATACCAGTGGGGCAGTAAAGCTGTCTTTTAACTTTAAAAGAGCTATTGTATCTTTATACGGAGTGCTGAATTTATTTTGGTGTTGAGGTTCAGCACCATGGACAGCATCTTAAATTTCAGATGAATTGACATGGCCGCTACCAGCCACCACTGCTGGAGATTCAGCATGGGGGGAAGCCTTCCCCCACCCCCATTCCTTCTACGGCCTGGTTTTAGTCCTAATCACCCTTTTCATGTACTTTCTATTTGCAGTGGGGATGTTACATGCATTTATTCCTTTTAATTGGTTAGTTTGACCCTCCTTCTCTCCAGCTTGGGATCTGATGTCCAACAGCTTTTAAAATGGTTGCTTTACCATGGAATAGCTGGCAACTACCATGGATGTGTTTGCATGTGGACTTTGATATTCATAAGTAACTACACATTGCCATCAATAGCAAATATCAACTAGGTTTTGCCCATTTTGATCCTCACACACTGCATGAATTACAGATATTTTCTAGTTGCAAGAAGAATTCCACAGTACTGGAAGGTATAAAAATGCCCTATGTCCACAAGAGAATTTCTTTGTGCAGAATCAAGGTGTTCCAACCAAACATTCAGAGAAAAAAGAAGGTGAAATAAAATTTGAAAAAATGAAAAATAAAATAAAACAAGGCATACATTTCTTGTACTGTGGATTATTTCCTGACCCAAATGAATTCCAGTGTCCCTCCAATTGGATTTTTTTTTTACTTTTCCTAAATGAAGCCAACATACTGAAAACTGAAGCATGTTGTTGTTGCTGTGTGCCTTCAAGTTGTTTCTGACTTGTGGTGACCCTTAGGTGAAGCTATCATGGGTGCTTTTTTTTGGCAAGTTTCTTCTGCAGGGATTCCTCTGAGGCTGAGAGAGTGTGCCTTACCCAGGGTCACCCAGTGGCTTTCATGGCTGAGCAGGGATTCAAACTCTGTTCTTCAGAGTCATAGTCCAATGCTCAAACCACTACACCATTCTGGCTTTCATCTTCTGTTTTATTTGAGAAGGGAAAATACAGCACAAGGCTCCCCCCCCCCCCCCCCCCCCCCCCGTTATACCTTATATTGTGTGGGACAAAAAAGGATCCTAGTGCCAAATATCAGTGGGTTTGTTGGGGTAACTTTTGTCCCAGCCATTTATTCCGTAGAGAAAAATAATAGTCAGCCCTTCATATTCATAGATTATTTATCTACAGATTCAACTATCCATGGTGTGAAAATATTTTAAAAATATATAAATTCAAAAATAGCAAACCTTGATTTTGCCATTTTATACAAGGGGCACCATTTTACTATGCCACTGTATTTAATGGGACTTGAGCATCCATGGATTTAGGTATCCAGGGCTGGTCCTGGAACCAAATCTCAGCAGATACCAAAGGCCATTGCATGCAGTGAAATTTAGCAATATTAAGATTAAGTAATATTGTTTCAAACTGGGCTCTGTGTCATACAATGTTTACCTCAATAGGTCTGGTTCTGTGTGGATGCTGCAGGCCAAACATGAGTGTCAAGAATAGCTGTCCTGTCCTGGCACATGAGGGCTAAAGCCTCTGTAGGCAGATATCAACTAGGTTGCCACTGGCACACACAAGTGATGGGGCAAGTAACCCTTCAACTTTGCTAGGTCAGTTCAGATGAACAGTATTCATCTCTTTATTGCAGTCAATAGACCATTAAAACAGCATATTAAAACATATTAAAATATACATTGTAGTAAAATGTGCCCATAACATATTAGTAGATCAAATCAGAATCAGTGTGTGTGTGTGTGTGTGTGTATGTGTGTATGATTGAAAGGGATCCATGACTCTGAAATCTAAACACAGTTTGCTTGCAGCATGAATTCCCAACAATGCTCCTCATTAGTGTTTGTATCCAAAACAACCCACATGTTCCTGTATCCACATAGGCCTTTGAAAGATTTCCATCCTTTCAATTACCAAGCAGTAGCATTCTCACTGCATGAGTTCATTTTCAGCTTGAAAATCAAAAGTGGGAGTTTGGGAAGGAAGAGGAAATTGCAAAATCTCACAGAAACAAGGGACATCCGAATGCCATTTAACATTAATGGATGGGTCAGGTCACCATGACAAACACATTAACTTTCACCTATCTCCCCCCTTGCTTAGGACAGGAGTTGATCTCCGTTAATCACCAGATTCAGTGACTCCTGTGCGCAGAAGGTGCAATTTATGTAATTTATGTGTTACACTGAGCTCAGGGTTTGGTTACATCAGATCGTTCCTGAAAAGGGGCTGTCAGGCAAATTAGAGTAGCATGCCGTCATCTTCAACTCCCCCATTCCTAATATAAGATTTTCTTTCGGAGTGTGTGCTAGCAGCTCGTTTGCCGTGTGTGAGAAATACAAAATTTGACAAAAAGACACTGAGTGAAAAATCAATGGTTGCAAAGAGGCGATATTTCCTCAGCTGCCACTCAGTTAGCCACAATCTTGAGAAATCTTTGTAGTGTATGAAAGAAAGAGAACCAGAGGAGAATTTTAACACAACAGTGTCTAGTGTTTGTTCCGGGTCTGGAGAATCCAATGGACTATTTTTTTTCCCAAGTGGGGAGAGGGGTTTCTGGTTTTTGAATCTGAATGCTTTTCAATGATAATTATTTGTACATTTGAAAGCAAGTCTAATGAATCTAAAGACTAATGAATCTTTCTTCAGAGCTGACACAACATATGGGATCAGTTGCAAATCTAATGCTGTTTGTTGTTGTTGTTTGTCTCTCCTTGCCCTCTGGAAAGCCTTCTGTTTACCATTTTAAGACTTTTCCCCAAAGCCATGACTTAAAGTCAGTTGCTAGTTCCAACTAGAGTAGACCTATTAAATCTATTGGTGAATGGTAAGTCAACATTTAAGTAAATCCCATTTACTCTGCTGTGTGAGGATGAATAATTTTCTCCACACGGTGGGAGAAAATAGACATTCCTCCACAGCTTTCTTTTTGTAGCCGAATGTCCAAAAGTGCTGCAGAAGAACTATTCTACATGAGAAAACATGTGGGATTTATTTATTTTTTTTGCACAAAAATCCTGTTTTCTGCATAGAAAAAAAATCTCACAGAGGAAACAGTGTTCTTTGTAGTTTCTTTGCATAAAACAGGTTTTAGTGTGTCTGTTCCAGATTTATATGTGGTGGTTTTTTTTACAGAACAAATCCCACACAACGTTTTGAGACATTCAAATACTGGAAGAACATTGTGCAAGATTCTCACTTGTCTATTGTTATTCTTGATGGGGTTTCCCAACTATCAGGGAAACCTTTTTTTAAAAAAAAAACAAAAAACTTGGGAATAAAGAATATTGAAGATGAACTGCAAATAGTACAAACAGGTTTTTTTTTAACAGCAAAGATGGTTACAAAATCATCATACAGAACATGTGTATAATTGAACTGAATTTTATGAGAACACGATCCTTTCCTGCTTTTGCATAAATAATAGTTGTTGGTTTTTAAATAAAAGATTGGCCTTTTCCTTTGAATAGTACAGCAAAATCAAACAATTGAAATTAAAACAGGATTCTCCAATATGGTGATCTGTAGATAACCCCTTCCCGCATTCCCAATTAGCATGGTCAATTGCCACTCTGTCTGGGGACAAGATTTGTACATACCACCCAAATGACAAATGCAAATACAAATACAAAATACTAGGTGGATGGGTGTGTAGATGGGTGAGTGTTGTAGCCCAACAGATCTGGTTTAAACACACATTTATCATCTCAGAGAACTAAGAGCCACAGCAGTAGTTAGGTTATGCAAAGTGGGAGGCTTAAAATTTTTTAACCCAGACACTTTGGAGGACTGTACATTTTGATTCAAAGATATAGCCATGTTAGTCTGTAGAATCAGTAGGTAGAGAGATCTTGAGACTATAAGTGAAAGAAATAAATTGGTAGAAATAAATTGAGCTTTTGTAGATTTTGATGTCTTTCTCTTCCAAACAGATGGAATGTGTGACCTGGAGCCTTATAGGGTTAATCTCCCCTTGCCAGTTCCAGCGATAGCTTTCAATGGTACAGCCCTGACCACCCCTAGCTATGGCATGCAGATGGCATGAGCCAGTGCTCAGCTGGCTAATAGGAGGCTGCTGCAATGATTTAATAGAAGCCGAGCTGGGAAGAGAATTCCAATCAGAGGCTCATTGTCCCCATTATGGAAGTGGAAAGGAAACCACCCTCTTCACTCACCACCATCATGGAGTGAGAGTCGGTGTTGCCTGCGGCTCATTGTCTCCAAGGCTCAAATCCAGGAGTTTGAAGCCTGTCCTTCTCAGGCACCCTCCATAAAGCCCAAATGCTTAAAATACTTAATTCTGCCAGCATTTGACATTACAATCAGATGACTGAGAGAAAGAGGGGGACAAAATGAACCAGGCTTAGCAATAAATCTGTTTTACAAAACCAAGGCAAGTTTTAGCACTACCTATTGGCCTCAGTCTTGATGGTGGCAAGGAGAGGGGGGAAATCTAATTATTTGCTCAAGTGAGATAATATTTAATAGGTCCCCAGCCTATTTAATCTCTGTTATAGCCATTACTTTGCATTTAGATTCCTGTGTTTGAATAATGGGGTGATCTTGCCAACTTGCAAAAATCCAGTTATACGGGTACAGATAGAGATCGTACTGCCACAGCCCAGCCAATTAATACCATGAAAACTTTAGCACCTGTTTAAACAGCAGGTCATTCAGAGAAGCAGAAGGCTGCAGGAACTTCTCAAATGAGGAAAGAGGTTTTCATTTCTTCAGACAAGAGGTGGGAAAGCTCACTGACAGCAATAGCTTGTCTATAAGGATGTGATTGGAATAAGCTTTGGTGCAGTCTGAATGAGTCAAGATAAGCACAGAGTTTAAGGGTAGACGTTAAAAACAGTGCCTGCCTTGGCCATAATTGCATAATAATCAGCCAATAATTTTATTTTAAAATCCCTTTGTAGACTTTATGTCCATCAGGGAGTATGATACCTTGCTCATTGCTAGCTGCTTCGCAAATTGTGCACATTACATGGTAACAGAGAGGATGATGGTTCCATAGCAAACATCAAAACAGATATTTTCTTGCCTGAAGTAAAGAAAATGGTTTCTGTCATTCTATACATGTAAACTGAGAGGACACTGGCATTTGAATCTTTCTTCAGTTCAAGAGGTGGGACAGTGCCCTCCACTTGAGCCTAAAGACAGCAGGTTAGTTTAAAGGATACAGGGCAGTTTTCTCATCCAACACCTTGTTGCCACCTCCTAGCATCTTCTGCCTGAGGCTACCACCTGATTCTGTCTACTGGTAAGAAAGGCTCTGTCCCACAAGGGAGGGGAATGAGATGAGAGAAGACCAATATCTATAGAGCAGAGGTTCTCAACCCTTAGTCCTCCAGATTTTTGGTCCAAAACTCCCAGAATCCCTCTTCATTGATGTGGATAGAGGGAGCTGAAGTAAAAAAATATCTGGAAGACCAAAGGTTGAGAACTATTGTTATGGAACTAAGGAGGTGCAGAGGCTTGTCCACAGAGACACTTTACACAAGGACCTATGTGCTGGACAGAAAACAGGAACCTTACATTTCCCTCATACTTTTACTTTACATCTCCTTCATATTTAATACATGGGCAGAAGCTCTTTGTAGCCACATTTTTTTTTAGACTGATGAGGAAGGAAACTATTCAGATTGTCAGGCTTTTCAGGTTCTGGTGCATCTGCAAGTAAAAAAAAACATTTTGAATTTGCTTTTAGCTATGGGCTTTGCATACATTCTTGCAATTGTCATTATAATTTTATGGAAATAAATGGGGCTCTTTGAAGCTTCAGACAGTAACCCAGGCCTACAGACATTGTAGCTTGTCTTTTCCAACTTTTGGATTGAATTTGTGTGCGTGTTGTGTGCCTTCAAGTTGTTTCAGACGTATGGTGACCCTAAGGCTATCATGGGGTTTTCTTGGCAAGATTTGTTCAGAGGAGGTTTGCTATTGCTTT